ATTACTGACCTATGGCAGCTGGAGGGCCCAGAGCAGATGCAGGTCTGAGATCTCCTGCAGAAAAACAGATATGAATGAGCACCTGTTACAATACTAGTTATTAACACACATTAGACGCCTCCAGGCTCCAATCACTCCTGAGATTCTCAAATGCAGAATCTCTTCCTTATGCATATGGGGAAACTGAAGCCCAGGGGCTATGACCATAGACTAACAAAGAGAGAGAAGTCATCTGAGTGAGCAATAGCAATTTCTCCTACACATTGCAGAAGTGATTTTATCCAGTCTTTGCCTGACCTGAATCCCTGGTAGAGAACAAACCAAATCTCTTGCTAGGTAAAACTTGGAACTATTTGACATTCAGTTTGTCCAAGCATTGTGGGTAATTGTAAAACAAAACAAAAACAAAAAAAGTACAACTATTTGTCATCTCCTTGTTCTGAATAGAAATTCACTTCTTTATCCTTCTAGACCAGTGATTCTCAGCCTGTGGAAGCCCTTTGTATTAAAGGGCCGTAGCATTCAGAAAGTTCAGAACCACTGTTCTAGACTCACACAGAGTCACTCAGACAAACAATTCTCCCAAGATCACCCAGTAAGTCATTGCCAGAGTGGGACTCAAACCCAAGACTGAAGCTGAGGCTGGTTAGTTCTCCACCTGTGGCTGCACACAGGCCAAGACGAGGTAAAACCCACCTTCTTTCCACCACAGTGTATAGCCTGTTTGTAGTAGCTCAGGAGGCATCTCCGTATTTTTGACAGCTGATTAAGGGTAGTTGTCCCTAAGAAGACTGGGAGATTTTGGTTCTTAATGTGGAGGTGTTGGATTTAGGCTTTTGTGATTTCTCCATTCCAGAAAGTTCATTATCTGGGCAGGGTGTGGTGGCTCATGCCTATAATCCCAGCACTTGGGAGGCCAAGGTGGGTGGATTTCCTGAGCTCACAGGTCCATGACCAACCTGAGCCAGAGTGAGACCTCATCTCTAAAAATAGCCAGGCATTCTAGCAGACACCTGTAGTCCCAGCTATTTGGTGGGCTGAGGCAAGAGAATTGCTTAAGCCCAGGAGTTTGAGGTTGCTGTGAGCTATGACCCCATGGCACTCTACCAAGAGTGACAAGGGAGACCCTGTCTCAAAAAAAGAAAAAAAAAAAAAAGAAAAAGAAAAGAAAGAAAAAGAAAAAAGAAAGTTCCTTATTTGATTCATTCTTGTCTACCTGGAAAATGCTGAATGATCTGGAGGAAAGTACCTGCTATTGCCAAAATTGGCTTAATCCATATGTAGCCACATAACCATCTAGTTCTTATTCTTTGTATCCCTGTGTTTCTCATCCAAGCTATCATGAGAAACTTTGCCACAAGCATTGTGGATGTCAAGATGTGCTACTTCAAGGGCAAAGTGGAGACACCATGGTGCACAGGAGAGGATTCAGGGCTTAGAGAGTCAGGCTGACGAGTTTAAATTCTAGTCACAACTGTTCTGTGACTTGATAAAGTCACCTAATCTCCCTGGGCTATTTCTTGACATCAATAAATTGCTATAATGGGCTGGGCACTGTGGCTCATGCCTGTAATCCTAGCATTTCAGAAGGCTGAGGCACGAGGACTCTTTTAGCTCAGGACTTTGAGATCAGCCTGAGAAAGAGTGAGACCCTGTCTCTACTAAAAATAGAAAACCTAGGCAGGTGTTATGGCAAGTGTCTGTATTCTCTGTAGTTAGGCAGGTGTTATGGTAAGTGTCTGTAATCTCAACTATTCAGAGCCTGAGACTGGAGGATTGCTTGATCCCAGGGTTTGAGGTTACTGTGAGCTAGGCTGGTGCCACAGCATTCTAGCATGGGCAATAGAGTGAGACAATGTCTTAAAAATAAAAATTGTAATAATACTCACTGTCACACACATGTGCACACAACTACTCACTGACTTTCTTTCTCCCCCCCAACTCTGGACTCCTGTGACCTGTCCTGGTTTACCTGGTTTCACCAAGGCCTTCCATACCACAGTCCTATGTTTCTTGTCTCTCATTTGCAGCCTGAACCCCGATTCCATGTGGGCAACATAGAACTCAGAAAACATCTGGGCTTCTCCAGGGCTTCGATAGCAGAGTTCCAGTTCCTGAAGAGACAAAGAGTTGCCATCCTTTTCATCCTACAAGTGAGGTCCTTTCCATACCTGACATCTTCGTGGCCCTGCTCAACCCCATAGGGACACTGTCATGACCTCCTGTACTGAAATCAGTCACCACCATCAGACACTGTTCTTTTCCTAATTTTCCACAAGTCCTGACTCTGAGGACTCAGCTGGTACCTCATGGATGAGTCAGAGCTCCTCTGTAAAAGTCATGTTTGTCATTCTAAGCCAGAGCCTTTTTTAGAATCTTGAACTAGATCCTTCTTCCTCCACCTCTCCCATCTTGAATCCAAACCCTCATTCCTCCAGCCCAATGTCTGTTTTCCCAATGGATCCTAAGCTTGACATGATTTCCATTAATAGGAAATTTATGTTTTCCTAAGTCACATGCAAGACAGACATCTGGGCTTCTCTTGGGCTTTGATAACAGCCTGATTCCCAACTTCTTCTAGACATGGTCCTTCTTCAGTTTTCACAAATTCAGTAAATGGTACTACTGTCCACTGAGCGCACTGAATCCATCAACTTTCCTCCATCTCCATTGCTACTTCCCTAGTGACACCACCTTCACCTCTAACCGGCATTATTGCCATAACTTTTTTTCAGAGATGAAGTCTTGCTATGTTGTCCATGCTGACCTTGAACTCAAGCAAGGTCTAGGCTCAAGCAATCCTCCTGCCTCAGTCTCCCACCTCCACTATGGTTGGCTTTGCAACAGCCTTTTGACTTTCTTTTTACTTCCACTCTTAACTGCTTATCACTCATTCTCACCCAGCTGACCCGAGTCTCATATTACCATATTTAAAACCCTACAAGAGCTTGCTATCACACTTAGAACAAAATTTGTACTCTGTACAAAATCAGAGCTGACTAGGTCACTGGGCCCTTGGAGACTCTGCCTCTGATCTGACCCAATTCTTGCTACATGCACTGAACTTGCCACATTTGGCTCTTTTTGATCACCTGGAGGTGTCCAGCTTGCTTCCACCTCTCTGTCTCTGCATACATTCCTCTGCCTGAAACCTTCTGCTGTGAATCACCAATGCCCGAACCCTTTTTGTCACTGTGGTCTCAGAGTAAATGTCACCTCCTCAGAGGAGTTTCCCCCGACCACCCCGTATAAAATAACCAGTCACTCTCTTAACGTCACTCTATTTTCTTCACAACACTTCATAGTACTTGATCACTACTAGTTTAATTATTTATGTAGTTCTCATCCACCAGGATATAAGCTTCCCAAGAGCAGGGATTAGTCTATATCATTCACTGAATTATCTCTACTAAAGACAGCCAATACTTGACACTGGGTGAATACTTGCTGAGTGACTGAATCATGTCTTTCTCTCATTAACAACGGAAACACCAGGAAATTCCATGAAATCCTTGTGTTTCTCAACTGAAAAGATAAACATCCCTTCCTTCTAACTACTGGATTTCTAGTCCATCTGGAGACATTAAATTAGGGATTACAAGGGATCCTTCAGAAACCACTGACTTCAGAGATGGACAGCTTCTGCCCAAGATTTTAAACAAGGTAAATGTTCCGATTCTAAAACATTCTTTCCTATCCCTTTATGCTACAACTAATGTTGCTCTATTATTCTACTCTGATGCTCTCTAAAACACTAATATGATCCCTCTAGCTTCATCCTAATATACCCTGTGATTCCCTGTGGTTCCCTTCAACCACTTAGGGAAAAACAAAACTCTCTTGAGAGTTTTCCCAGACTTTGCTACTGCTCAGGAAATAAGTGATTGCTGGACTGACCTTACTTGGCAGACAAAGATTTATTATCCAGTTATAGTGGAATTTTCATGATAGCAAATACTTCCTGCTGACTTAAAGTTGTAAGTAGAATGATCTGTTACCAGGGAGAAAAAAAGTGCAAGGATCTGGATTTCTTAAATAGACCCAGGTGGATTCTGATTACATTTCATTGACTGAGTTTCATAATGTAGGCCCTGGTTTGGACTTGTTACAACGATGAGTAGTCCTTTAGTTTTTGATAACTGTCTGTGTTACTGATATCCAGTGTATAGGTCCTGGGTCTTAAATGCCACCTAGCATTTGTCATGTCTGATGGTTCAAAGACTCTTCTCACAACAGATGGAGAAAGAAAGAAGGATTAACCCTGGCTCAGCTACTACTGACAGGCAGGAAGGGATCTGAGGCTCAGAGCATGACCTCAGTGTCACCACAGTCTCACCAAGAGTCACAGTACACCCGTGTTGTCCTCTAGTCTGACACACACTCTCACAGAACTTCCACTTCAGATAGGCCACTGGGCAGCCCATGACATGCCAAACATGTCCCTGTGCTAAATGAGCGACTGTTGCTTCTTTAGCAATCGCGGCTTTGTGTTGCTTCAGTCTGCCTTCCCCTGGAGAGAAAGGATTCCTTGAGCTTCCCAGTGGTAGGACTGCCTTTGCCTTCTGAAAATGCTCAATCTAGAGCAAAGCTCTGTTTCCTTAGATCTTCCCCAAAGTTACCCAACAAGGCCCAAGTCCTTCAAGTAGGTTCTTTCTAATACCCCTTTATTGAGACAGCACATGGTTTCCCCTGAGTGTGTTCTGTCACAATGAGTGACAAGCCCAGGGTTGGGCTGCAGGTATGTTCCTGTGGGTTTCCACTAGAGGGTATTGGCACCTTGAGTCCAAGCACTTCCCTGGGACCCCAACTCCAACCCCCTTGCCCTCCTCCTCCTGAGTGTACTCCTACCTCTCTCTCCTTCTTTTCCCCAAACTCTGCAATGTTCCGACTTACCCCAAACCCCTCTACCTTTCTGCCCAACCCCTCCCTATTTCCCCCCTCCCTAGGACAGCCCTGAGACCTGTCCCACAGGGATTCCTGAGCATGCCCTCTGATCTTAGTGGCCAAGGGGCAAACACAGGGATGCTCACGTTGGGGATCATTTCCAGCTTTCCTGAGCCAGACACGCTGTAGCGAGAGCCCATATACAGTGAGGTCAGCAGGTTTGGCTTGTGTATTCGCACAAACTGGAACTTCTTTTCTTCATCATCAATGGCCTAAGGAGCACACAGAACAATGACTAAGTCGAGATTCTGTCCTGTGGGATCTGGTCTGACAAGGTGAGACAGTGGACCTGTGTGTTTGTGGGGCAGGGGGGTTATAGCATCCCTGCACTCCTCTCTCCCCAATCACAGACACAAAGACAGCCCCACACTGGGCCTCTGCTATCTTCAGGGTGGGGATAGGATCATTCCAGGAGAAGAACTGAGAATAGGGAAAGGCTGGTTTTAGGCACAGGACCTGCCCACCTTTTGACTCCTGGAAAGGTGCTGCAAACAGCTATGCAAAGACCAGTGATGGACCATCGAACCCAGCTGGGGGGACCCTGTAGAGTCAAGAGCCCAGCCTGGGGCTAAGCTGGGGGCAGGACCATCACCCACTGAGAGTTCCCGCTTCTAAGAGCCTGATCCTTATTCCTAGTCCAGGACCCCTCTGGGGGACTTTCTGCTGCATTTGGTGTTTACCATCAGCCCACCCTGGCCCAGCCTTTCTGGCTCTTAGTGTCACCTTCTGAATGGAGCAGTCATTGGG